GGAAACAATTACAACGACTCTTCTACATGCATACATGATTGTCTTCTCGGTAAAAAAACTTTTGAATTCGATTAATCCCGCATGTGTAATCGCAGTATGTGATTCTTTAGTGGATGGCAGTGGTTGCAGCGGAATGAATCCACCAGCCCGACTATCAAATGGTGAAGCAATAAACTGCAATACTCCACAACTTAGCTTCCCACCTGGTAAGATGCAAAATTTACATTTTGTAAGAAAAACTCAGCCTTCCACTCAAAAAATCGGTTTCTCTCTTTCTACAGCATCGCACGTGCACTTGGATGGGAGCTAAAATCAGGATTCTCTTCTGTCCTTTCGTGGGAGACATCAGCAGAAGACAGAAGACATAACAAGAACCATTTCAGGGTTTTCTGGCCCAACTCCTCCTCCATACGTCGGTCCTAAGCTCACTGACGGATGTCCGGTGAATCATAAGTGCCTCAACAAAGGATTCATATCGCTGTGTTGCAACAATCATAACGAAGGTAAGCCCCCGAGCAGAAATAAGGAAAGAAAAAAATCCCAAGCTGGTTTGAGGCCCGCAATTAATCAAACTCCTCTACTTGGCTTTCATTTTTCAGCCTACGATTGAAAATAATTTTTCAGAACCCTTCAAAAAACTCGAATTATTGAGATCAGTCACAGACAATCCATTAATTAGTCTTCGTAGGTGTACAGAGGCGGTGCAAAGACGACACTTCGTCCATGTCGCACTTCAGCGGCTTTTAGCCGCCGTTAGGAAGTCCTACAGCAAAATGCGCCTCAAACTCCCTCTACAAGTAGACGCAAGCCCTCCTTTACATTGTCAAGCGCAAGGAGACTCACAGTACTGATCTAGCTGCTACATTACTTGAATCAATTCACTGTTAAATAGTTCACTAGGGCTCTAGCTCTCGAGACGCAAGCTCTCCCTCAGCCAGCTTTTCAGAAAACATCCCAGTGGTACACGATCCGCCCAGAACCTCGCTGAGCTCTACCGTCCAACATAATGCTTTTCTGATGCCGTCCACTAGAAGGGCACTGTGATTCTTTTGTTCTGAATGTGTAAAAACAATGTGAGACTCCAATTATTTATTGCGAAAGACTCTTTCACAGGAGAAACTGCAAAAATGTGTGAGTGCAAAAGTTTTACAAAAGCATAGGCCTTTGGGTTTTTTGGTTCAGTTTTCGGCGCTTCGCGCCGTTGTCAAGGCTGATATGAAATGAGCCCCTCGAAGTCTGTTTATATATTAAATTATATTTAAACGGACTAACCTGCTGCCCACTCACTGTGAGTCGGTTAGTATATCTTAATGTATTTATTTATAATATACCAGTTTTGCTCCGCTCGCTATCGCGCGCATGTCAAAGTACATAGGCGGTAACAAAAATGAGCACAGCCGGGCTCTTGTGTTGAACAGCACTCATGCTTTTGATGAATCTGAGTGATGTTATCAACGAAGGTGACTATACTGCTGGTGATAAAGCAATTATTTACGGGAGCTCGTCAACCCCACAAACATCCATCATTTTTCGGAAACTAACATGGTCTAGCGGCCGAATAAGCTCAGATAACTAATACCTTTGTTGAAGTTGCACGATAGTTGTTTACGCTATCAGGACTTTGCATGAACAACTATCATGCTTTGGATGTTGAGATATTCTAGCGGTTGCAATTCTTACGTCCATTGTTACGTCTATGGCATTGAAAGAGAAGCACCAACACCATTATGCACAAACACCGACCATCCCAGAAAGCTCGGAAAGATTAGCGGTCTAAGCAATCTCGATGGCAACGACGAAATCGCAAACTAAATAGTATTTTTTGTCGCCATCTAGATAACAACTTTAGCGGCTCTTCATTTTTAACTGATCAATCTTATCAGCCCTTATCAGGTGTTATCGCTTTTTGTCCCCCACCCAGTATGTTCCCGTCCCACCCCCTGTATCATATCTTGAAATCAACTCCTGACGACTTCTGGTAGCGCGCTATGAATTTCGCGACACTTGCGTTCTAGCGCCTTTTATCAGCCCTTATCAGTTGTTATCACTTTCTATCACCCACCAACAATGTCCCCGTCCCACCCCACATAACACTTGTAAGTATGGTTGCTCTGGTGTCAACGCGAGCCAGGTAACGGAATCGACGACTTTTGCGTTCTGACGCATCTTATCAGCCCTTATCAGTTGCTATCGCTTTCATCATGTACCACCAATGTCCCGGGACCACCCCACATAACACTTGTAAGTATAGACGCTCTAGTACCAATATGAACGACAAAACGAAATTGGCGATGCTCGCTTTCTAGCCCCTCTTATCAGCTATTATCAGTCGTTATCAGTTCCTATCACGTACCACTTGTGTCCCCATCCCACCCCCTATAACATATGTAAGAACCACTGCGCTATCATTACTGTGACTCGAGCTATGAATTTCCGGTCAAACACACACAC